CACCCTGGAGAGCACGGATAGCGTCCCATGAGTCTCGCACCTCAGGGATGACACCACACGGAAATTGGGCAACCCCTTTCACGAACAAGCCTAAAATAGGCATGTGTACAGTCCGGACCATTCCATCACGCCTGCTGAGTTTACTCTCAAAAGATGCGCCTCTCCAAGCAGATTCCTTCTCGTCTACACAAAGAAGACTGACTGTGTTTAAGAGACGCTGGTTCTTGGCGACATTATTCACGTGATCTCACAACTAACAGGATCATACTGTACAATAGAATTGAAAATGCCAATTCAGTGCTTTATTTAAAATTGTGTTAGAATGCAGGATGCACAGTTTAATTCAGACTTGAATTTAAGGAATAAGAAATCGAATTAAATAAAGAAATACATTTTAATAACCCATTTCATTTAATATTTTGATATTTTCAGAAACATTACATATAATCAACATTTAAAATGACACTAAATTAATTGTACTTAACATAAAAATCAGTGCTGTCAAACAATATTATGTAAACAAAACTTTTATTTTGGATGCGATTAATCACGATTAATCATTTGACAGCACTAATAAATAAATATTTAATTTCATTATATTTTTAGTTTATTACATTTTATTTTTATGGCAATTTTGTATCTAATTTCATTATAATTTACCAAATACACGACTAAATAAAAATATTGTCCATATTAATTTTTTATAAGCAGCTATTTTGTCATAATACTATTTTAGATTTTAGTCATAACAATAGTTTGTCATATAAAACATTCAACATTTCAGGAAAGAAATCATACATCAAATTCTTTCCAAATGAATGATGTAATTATTTGTTTTGTTGTAAAACCTTTTGATTGTGTGCAGTAAAGTACTTTTTTCGCTCATGTCATTCCGATTCCACATCCTGTATGTGTTGCAGTGTTATTTTAATATCATTAAGGTACTATTATAGTTTTTATTGACATTTTGAATTAAGCTAATTTTCATTTTTATATTTTCTGCTTTCATTTTAATTTAAGTCAACAGTTTAGTAATTTGGTTGTGTGTTTTTGTCATTTTGTAAAAATATGTCCATATAGATTTAATTACTTTTATTGCTGTTTTAGTTCTTTAAAAGTAATGAAATTGTATTTTATTTATTTATTTTTAATGGTTTTAGTTAACTACAATAACCCTGATGTGTGGCCAATTCAATTTTCACAAAACATATTTTGGCAGGCGAAGTGTCAGATTTGAAGGCACTGAGAGCAGTGTTAACATACAGAAATTCATTAACAATGGAAACACGGCAAAGCAAACAAATGTGAGCTGCTTTTCATTCCTAGGCAAGAGTGTTGCTTAAAATTAGTCAGACAGCTGTGACAACAGTTTCCCCTTATTTTCCCCTTTTCTTCTTTGGGAAGAATTCTACTTCAGGCCTGATGTGATGTTAAGATTACTGGAAAATAAAACTGCCGTGCACTTCAGTTATCATGAATACCTGAAGTCCTCATAGCAGATGGCTGATCTTCACATGTCCAACTCTGTGGAATTCACACACACACACACACACACACACACACACACACACACACACATTAATTTTAATTAAACATAAAGCCTGGGATTTCCATTACTAAATTCTAGAAGGTCGAAACATTCTAACTGGCATTCCATTGTCTAAACTTCACACATCATTTCTTAATCAATTCAAGAGCCAAATGTGTAAAAATAAAAATTCCTGTGTGTAAGAATCTCTGAGAAGAGCATTTTTGCTCAACAAATATTACAAAACTTCAAACATTAGCAGCTTCATGAGTCATAAATCCTCGAAGCATATCAGACAGAACTGTGACCGCTGCCCGCACAATACCAGCGTCATTCCTGTGGTATGAATACAGCAATCTAAACAAAGCCTCTAATTTCACAAAAATGTGTCCAGCTGACAGGAAACCGACAGTACGGCATGTGCTGCTCATACAGTTGAATATTAGCACACAATATTAGCACATCAACAATGATGGACTGCATATATTTTTACAATCTGTAAAGAATAGCTCACCCAGAAATTAAAATTAGCTAAAAATTCTCTCACTATCAGGCCATCCAAGATATAGATGAGTTTGTTTCTTCATCAGAACAGATTTGGAGAAATGTAGAATTACATCATTTGCTCACCAGTGGGTCCTCTGCAGTGAATGGGTGCCGTCAGAATGAGAGTCCAAACAGCTGATAAAAACATCACAGTAATCCACACCACTCCAGTCCATCAATAATATCTTGTGAAAAGCTTGGTTCATTATAAACATTGATAAACATCATAAAGGCATGTGTCCACCCAATATTCATATTCAGCATCAACAAATATTGGTTTTACAGTGGCTTAAAGAGGCAGAAACCCATTTCTGCAGAAAAAGGTCAGTCATAAAGGTTTGGGCTTGAGGGTGAGTAAATGACAGAATTTGTATTTTTTAGGCGAACTATCCCTTTAAATAGTACTTTATACAGTCTGATCTTGCTGCATGTGTGAATGTGTGGGGTTCGAGTAACCATACGAGTCCACACAGGGTTCGCATCATTTAACGAGTTTTCCCATCGTGCCTCAGATCGGACTTTAAAAAAGCAGCGCCGCTCCACGGACCTCAGCTGAGCTCCTGATAATAGTTACAGTATGAGAACAATAATATTTAGTGAACATTCAGATTTATGTAGTGGAGGAAAAGGGTTGAAATCTCATGGATTTTGGACTCAATCTGAGCCAAAACCCAAAACATCCCTACTATTACAGCATAGTGTGTATTTTCTAGAGACTGAATGGCTCCACAATTTTTTCTTTTTTAGTAGGCTGGACTCATACAACACACTTTGGCAGCCTAATATGGTGTTCATTAGACAAGCTTTACTCTAGTCTGCTGGACTTCCTCTGTCTGGCTTTAATATCTAGAATATGGTAACTAATGGATACTGACAGAATACCATGTTTCTGTCTCACCTCATATCAGCAGTGTGAATTTGTTGATTTAACCCTCTTTTTACTCTCCCATTTTGGTCGAACATGCTGTTCTCTTATAGTTCGCTGTCGGGAGACGAAGCAAAAGCTGCCACATGTCCTTTTTTGGTCACACAGACTGTAATTTAGCCATCCACAATATAATTCCCAGAATGACCGTGACCACATCACATGAAGTAACAGCGCCACCTGCTGGAGAGAATGTGTCACATCTCGAGCTGCACAAGCAGCGTCAAAACGCGTTTACTCCGCCGTTAGAATGCTGCACGGATATTTATGAGATTAAAATGCAGAAAATGTAAGTGAAAGCATGTGAACACATTTCTGTGCCTAAATGTTTATAATGGTCGTAAAAACACTGTGAGCATTTGCTTGGTTTAGTGTGTGTACTTGGATATAATTACATCAGAGACAGATTTAGTCTGCTCTGCTTCAGTGAAGAATCTCAGCAAAAATACACACGCACACACTTGTAGATGCATGTAAAACTTACCACAGCTGCTCTATACCAAGACTAGACAAAAACTGGAGCAACAGGATATTTTATATATATATATATATATATATTTATTTATTTTATTTTTTTGTCTATTTTTTAGAAATGTATTTAGTCTAATTTATGCCAAATTTAAAGAAAAGTTTGTAGATTGCTATGGGTTTCTGGTAGATATGATACAAAAAAAGATCTATGATAAAAAGACAGTTTTTATTTATTTATTATTATTACTAATTTAAGATCCATTTACACTGCGAAATAAATATAAAAATGGAAATAATTATAATAAAAATAATAAAAAATACCCCCATATGAAAAAATACTATAGTAATTTATAGTAAATACTATAGTGTTTTTGAACCATACTATGGTAAAGTACTTGAATTAATTTGATGTGGTAATTCTATAGTTGCTGTGGTAATATAACAACTCTAAAAATATAAACAAATTACTTTACCCAATACTGCACTACTACACAA